CGGAGATCGGAAGAGCACACGTCTGAACTCCAGTCACTGCTCGACATCTCGTATGCCGTCTTCGGCTTAAAAAAACGATGCAGGAGAGACAGGGAGAGCTGGAACTTGGCCCATCAACCCTGAGCGCCCTTTGGTCCCTCGGTTGTTTATTTTTGTTTGTTTGCTTTTATCAGTCTCAGTGCCTGGTTTCTTCCAAGCCTTAGTGGGGAAGTGAGAGCTGCTTCTAATTGTCCAGATACGACTGCTAATGGCGCCACTGGCCTTGCTGGGATTGGCAGAGCAGCTGTGAGGGGGCAGGGTTGAAGGGTCCCGGAGGAAACGGTTTCTGAATTTTGTATTGTTTAGAGCCAGGAATAGAGTCACACATTGTGTGGGGGTTCAGTAGGATTTAGTGATTTCCCCAAACAAAGGGAAATCTATAAGCACTCGCAGATGCATTTTCATTCCCGTACCCCGCCTTGCTTCCACTTCCCTTTGGCCTGGAACATCAGGTCCACAGAGCAGAGGACAAACACGGAGTGCTGGCCTCTCAGAAGTGGAGGCATGCCTGGCAGCCCTGCCAGCAGCCACCCTGGGCCTCCTCCCTCCAGTTCCCAGGCCTCAGGTGGAGCGTCCTGGGTGTCAGCTGGGCCTATAGCTGCGTGCACAGCCCAGACCTCTCACCTGTGGCCAGGAGACCCAGCTCAGTGCGGGTGAGGGCAGCCCAGCTCACTACAGGTGGCCCCTGGGACCTGAGTGATGCCACGCAGTCTGGGAGCGGCGACTGGGTGACCGACACATCGTGGGAGGCAGATAATTCCCTCCACACTTATCCTGTTGAGTTGCACAGTTTTAGACAGATGTAACTGGCTAAATTTCAGTTTCTATGTTTCAATAATGGAGGAAACCAGTGCTCACCCTGGGGTTGGCTGGGTGCTCACTAGGGGAGCACCCCACCCACCCTGGTAACTCTCCTGCACACCTCCTCTGACTCCTCTTATTCTGAATGAACCAGAAGCTTTTATGGCCCTTTCTACCCTGCCAGAGGCCCTGCATGGAGTGCCGGGGCTCAGTCACGGGCCCTGGGAGTGTGTGGGCAGAGGAAAACACAAGTCCCACCTCCGTCCTCTGCCTGCCCCTTCCAAACACCCTTGTTCTCCTCGCTGAATTCTTCCAGCTGCCGCATCCCCCGCCCTTGCCACTCTGTCATAACACCCGCAGGGAAGGGCCGGTGGATTCCTCTAGTGCTCCATGCCTCACTCTCCCCTCGTCCCCTGCCACCCCCCCCCCTTTGCTGGGTTTCCCTCTTCCACACATTCCCAGGGCCCGTGACTGAGCCCTGGCACTCCATGCAGGGCCTCTGGCAGGGTGTAAAGGGCTATAAAAGCTTCTGTTTCATCCAGAACAAGTGGGGTCAGACGAGGTGTGCAGGAGACTTACCAGGGTGGTGGGGGTGCTCCTCGAGGAGCCCTGGGCTGGAAGGTCGTGGGCAGATGCGACTACAATAAGGGGGGCGGTCTATGAGGTGATGGGCTGGGCTGGGCAGAACTGCCCTTCTGGTGGTAGGGGAGCAAGCTGTGGCCTTGGAGAGTCCCCTGTGCAGGGCTGCGCTGTTGGGGAAGCTGTTGGGATTACTATTAACATGATGAACAGAAAAACAGAGGCCTGGGCAGGCAGTCCAACCTTTTGCCCTTTTAGCTGAAGGCAGGAATGTGTGTGTTTCAGGCCAAGAAACTGGCAGTGAAGAAACCCAGAGCAGGGGCTTCATCCTGGCTTTGCACCTCATGCCCCCCTGTCTCCTCTTTCATGCCTTACTTACTCTTCTTCTTTTCCTGCACTCACAGAGTCCCAGGAGGGCAAAGCCATGAGGGTATATCAGCACCCACTCTTTCTTACCAAGTGAGGGGTTCGAAAAGCATTTATAGGCCTATATGGATTGGCTGAATTTTGAAGTATTAGTCAGGACCTGTGTGAGGTGATGGGGTGCTTTCCGAGATCGACGGGCATTGGACAGGCTTCCCAACTGGTGTGGGGTGCCTCACAGGAGGTGCACAGGCTCCTGGGCCCTCCAGGGTGTCAGGGGTCTCTGCTGTGATGCACCCCTGTGCTTTCCGTCTCTGAGCTACAGGGCTGGAGGCTGTAAACACACGTGTGTGCACATGCCCACAAGGCTGAGTACCAGCACCAGCCGCGCACTCGCAGAAATATTATTACCAACAGGTCCACGCCACGGACAAGGAAACTGAGGCACAGAACTAATGGATGTGACTCCCCCCTTTTCCCCCCAGCTAGGAGGTGCTGGGGAGGGGCTTTCTTTCAAGTTCTGTTTCTTCAGATACAATTTCTCACCAGCTGTGCTGTGTGTCAAGGTGGGGTGCACCCCCAGTTCTGTCCTCCAAAGGGTGACCTATGAGAAACCACAAGGCCACAGACTCAGCGTCCTCACTATGACAGCATCTCACAGGCAGTGGAGAAGCAGTCAGAATGCCCTGGTGTCGGCTACAAAATTAACCAACCAAGCAAATACACATGAATAAAAACCTGAAAATTCCATCGCTGGTGAACAGCTCATTTCCCTCAGACCTTCTGAAACAGGAGGGGCAGCCCCTGCGTCCTTTCTCCCAACGTGCAAGCACAAGGCCTTGGAGCCTTATCAGAGGGACATGGCCAGTCCCTCTGGCTCCAGGGGATCCAGGCACTGTCCTGCCCACCTGCTGCCTGACCTTCACACTGTCCCACCCACTTTGCAGTTTCAAGTCCCCCATCCTTTCTGGAGTGACAGTGTAAGCATCCCTGGGAAAGGAAACAATTTCTATTTTAGCTATTCATAGCACAGTGTTGATGGGTTTCAGATCTGTCTTGGGTGGGGAGAGTGAGCGTTTGGGCACAGTGGGTGTCTGGGGGAGCTGGAGGACCCCGCGCAGTGAGCACCCAAGGAGCACCCAGGCTCACGCCAAGCTTTGCTGGTGGGGTACATTCTCCCTGCTCGCCCAGGGAGTTGGGGATATTCCTTCTTGATGACACAGTGAGAGGAATAAGGGTCATGCCCTCCATACCGAGAAAACACACAGCCCTTCACTCTGGGGAGCCCATGTCTTCTCCACCCCTCTTTCTTTTCCTGCTCGTTTTCTCCAACTTCATTCTAGCTTCTCCTCCATCTTCGTTTCTTCAACAGTACCTGCCGTTCGCTTGATTTCCAACCCCTCCACCATGGAGTGTCTTTCTTTAAAGATTCTTATTTTCACTTTTGCTTCTTCATGGGTAGGACTGTGTGGCTGCTGCATGCTCTGTCCTCCTCCATTCCCTGCATCTTAAGCTGCAGCCGGAGGGGTAGGGTGTTGGCATTCTCCCAAACTCTCCCCCTCCAGTGTCCATTGCAATGCTTTTCCCTCACAAGGCATCGTGTAATGCTCACAGGCTTGCTATGGTCTGATTTCAATTGCCCCATAAAAGGGTTTCCATTCCTAATCTGCAAGGGAGATGAACTGCCCTAAAAAAGAACTTAGTGAAGCTTGACATGGCTTGAGAAAGAATGTGGTGCTTCAGAATCCTGCTCCCTCATTTATGCAGGTGGAGCTGCACCAACAGACATCTTCCCTGAGCCTCAATTGCGTGCTCCATCCTGCAGCCAGGCCCAGCTGATGAGATGCTCTCTCCAAAGCCTCCCACCATTCATCCCTGCTTTCTGTTTCTAAGAGATGAAAATGAGCCACTTACCTGACAGGTGTTGACAGAAGGTTCAAAGATGGCAGATGAGTCCTGGAGATCTCAACCTTCTCACGGGAGATGGTCGTGGTAAAGTGTCCCGGTCCCAGGTGCTATGGCTCCTAGGCACAGGCAGTAAGCGAGTTCAGGGGTCAGTTCGCCTGTGGCAGATTACCCACCTAAAGATATATGCTCCTTGCGCTGCCCTTTGCTATTAATACCTAGATGGATAGAACAAAACGAGGAAGTCTCTGTCACATCCTGTTTCTGTGAGGAAAATCATAAATTGAATTTCCATGGAAAATGTCCCTCCATGGTCTTAGAAGGAGGGGAAAGGTAGCTGGGATCTTTGCAGAAACTTCTGGTGCAGAGACTCAGAGTGCGGTGAAGATGATACAGCTGCTGCTGGGATCTCTGGCTCCAAGGAGGCAGGATGACCACACCTGGTTAGCCCCCTCTTCACCCGTCCCAGGGAATCATACAGAACCTGGGCAGGACCATTTGCCAGCAAGAGGTTAGGAAAGGACTAGTACCCAACTCTCAGCCAGCTACACTCTCCTCTGAAGGGTGAGGGCAGGAAGGAAGAGGACCTGGGAGCATTGCCATAGCATCACCTGCAAAGGCTGTTCAGACACAGCTTGGAAACAAAGTGAGATGCTGAACAGGCTTCCTCTCATGGAGGGGGAGTAAGAGAGAAGAAAACACCATTACACCCCTCGTTGCCCTCGACTGTATCAGAGAAAAAGTCCAGTGGACCAAGGTGCCAGCCACCTGCCTGCATTCCACGCTGACACCCTGGGGGCAACTTGGAGCTGGGCACAGGATAGCTCAAGCACATGCAGAACAGACTCCCAGAAAGGCCTGCTGTTGGGGAGAGGGTTGTGTATATATTAGGGTTCTTGGAGTAAGTGGAGGTGAGCGAAGTGAACTCTGGGCACCAACTTGAGGGTGACCAGTGTTTAGGTGGGCCAGGGCAGCACCTGAGTTACAGATACATAAAGGCAGCCTAGGACAGCAAAGGGGACAGAGTGAGTTTGAGTGGCGGGTGCCAGTGCCTTGGGATGGGGAGACAGGTGGGACAGATTAATCTCAGAGACAGATTAAACTTCAAAAGGTCACTGAGCAAAGAGCAGGATCTGCGAAGTGATGAGGGCAGGGGGCCGTCAGACGT